ACACACACACACACACACACACACCATCGAACCATACAAGAGCATCACCTATATGACACGAGAGAGAGCGGAATGAAAATATTCTTCTTCAGATGACATACTTTTTAAAAAAAATAAAAAAATATTTTAAAAAGGAAAAGAAAAAGAAAAACCCCGTCCGGCTAAGTTTCAAAGTAAGAACGTACTAATGTTGAAAAATGTAGACCCTTGCAGCTATTTGAACTCTGGCCTAAATGGGTTTAGTCTTTGGAGTCAACAGATGCGACTCCCAAAAGCATTATTTGGGCCAGAACTTCGTTAAAATGAAGATGTGTTCAGAAGATTACAAGAGTTGACTTTATACTTCCGAAAGAGAGAGAAATTGGAGAGGAGGAGGAGGAGGAGGAGAGAGAGAGAGAGAGAGAGAGAGAGGGGGGGAGGGAGAGAGAGAGAGAGGGAGAGAGAGAGAGGGAGGGGGGGTAGAAACAGCGGGTGGAGGATAGTGGAACGGAGAGAGAGAGATAAAGGTGTGTGGGTAGAGGAGGTGAGTAAGACTAAATGAAGGACAGTTGAATAAAGACAAAGAGAGGGACGGAGAGAGGGTGAGAGTGAGAGAGACAGAAAGAGAGTGAGGGGAAAAAGGAAGATATGTAGAGAAAAAGGGGAGAGGGACGGAGAGAGGGTGAAAGTGGTGGGTAGGATGAGAGAGAGAGAGAGAGGAAGAGAGAGAGAGAGAGAGAGAGAGAGAGAGAGGAGAGAGAAGGGGGGAGGGAGAACGGTAAATAGCGATACACATGAGAAGGGAGATAGGGGGAAGGGGGAGACAGGGAGTGAAAACAGAAAATGAGAGACATAGATAGATGGAGGGAAGGAAAGAGAACGAGAAAGAGAGAGATAGAAAGGGAGGGGAGAGAGAGATAGAGAGAGAGAGAGAAAGAGAGAGAAAGGGATAACAAGAGAAATATAGAAACAGAAAGGCGTTCGCAACCCTCTACTATAATAAGAAATGAGTGAAAGAAAAAAATAGAGACAGAGAAAAAGAGAGAGAAAAAGAGAGAGAAAGAGAGAGAGAGAGAGTCATCAATAATATATTCTCCAATTATCGTGGCCTCTTTTCTGAGCAAAGTTTGAGTGACATCTAAGACTTTTAGAAATAGACAATGTTTGATGAAGGGTCATGGTTTTACGGAGAGTTAGGTCTGTGTTGTTCTATGGATGTGGAAGACACCTTTAACGTCATTTAACATTGTACTATGTCACAATGTAAAAACAAAGAAAATCAAGAATGTTGTAGAGTTTGACACGGCACATCGATTGATCTTAGAATCATGCCTCTATTTCAATTTACGAGTTTCTTCTTCCAGGAATAACGATTTTACCACTCAGACAACACCCCTCCCCCTTTTTATCCACCTACCAAACACTTTCCATTTCATATCGGAACACCGCCCCTC